AAACTTTTAGTTTAAAAATGATAAAAACTGAACAGCCTGCAGTATTTTTACAGTCTTTATTTTACAGTTAAAATATATGTTTATTAAATAAAGTCTAATGTTACAACTAATTGGGGATCCCTTTAAACAGAAATAAAATCATGATAAAAGAAAACAGAAGACTTGAACAGATAATTTCTATAGATTTTTTCATCATTAGTGCTTGGAGAAGGTATTATGACTCTCAGCTACCGCACCAAACTTTAGTTCGATATCTACTGACTGAGTTATAGTCATTTGTTAATGTTGATTATCTATGTTGGACACATAGAGGTAGGTTGACTCCAAAAATGTTTCAGTTCTAGATGTACAATCATTTATAGCTTTCTGACAAGACCAACCAGTGGTTGATTTGCTAACTGAAAAACCTAGAAGGGAAGGGGAGAACTATCACAACCTAAAATCCCAGCATTACCAACCCCTCCCCCAACGATTCAATTGTCGACCAAAGATGTGATTGATGAGGAAATGGGCTGTCATAGCTGAAAGGAGATTGGTCAGAGGAAGATGAAATCCATTCATAATGGTGAGGACCACAGTGTTTACTTTGAAAAGAGTCATAAAGTACAGGGAGATGTGACACCTGGGCTGGAGGAGGTTGGTTGCAAGTCCTACTTTGGGTCCACGTAGGACAGGGTACATGTTCGAACTTTTTGATATCTTGAGGATTAGTGGACCACCAGAGAAATACGCAAAGTAAGTTCAGCATTCTTCAGCCTCGACAAGCAACAGCTTGTGAGCTGCAGTATTAGCACTGCTCTGTTGAGAAAAACCAACAGAAAAAGGAGAGGGGGAGACTGCATCAGACTGGAATGCTGACAGCTATATCATTTCTAAGAAGCTCCATATCTACTGTTCACACGAAGACATCAAAAACAGAGGTTATAAAATTCTCCGATATGGAAAGTATTTTTTAAAAGTAGTGTTTTTTCTCACAAAATAAATAAATAATTATGTAAATGGAAAAAAAATGCAGAAAAAACACTCTGGAATAATATGGAGAGGGCTTCTAAAGCTGATTGTCGTGTAAAGACAATAAATATTCCTTTACGTTGAAAGTGGTAAGCAGTAAAGACTGTTATGAGTTCAGCTTCATTAATGATCTTTAAAACTTTTCTTCTAAAGCTGAGAGTCAAGGGGCAAAGTGAATGGAAGTGCATTTGCTCAGGTGTGGTTAAAAAAAACACTTTCCCACAGCTACAACTGCAGTTAATAATCTCAGCCAATCAGCAGATGAGATAGCAACAGAGAATTTCAAATTTTATTTTATTTTTCTCAGTTAAAAAAATGTGAATAATTATTACAAACTGCTTGAACAAGTCAATATCTTCTAACTAGCTTTGTCAACTTGTTAAACTTTGTTTCAAGTAAAAAAAATGTGACTTTTAGGCAAGAAAGTCAATATAACTCATAATGAAATTGTAAGTTATTCTCATGATCACTGATTTAAATAAAGGCATGGCATTCCTTGATAGAATGCATAGCGCCTATCACCTTTAACACAATAGGCTATCATCTTATATTAGGAAATGGCAGAGTTATAGCCAAATTAGGTAAACCTTCAAAATAAAAGTATGAGTCTTCTCATGCAGAATTATAAAATGCCATGCTCAGAGGCAATGTGGTAGAGCTGTTGCCTCTCAAAGTCATGGTCTTGGAACATTCTGGGTGGAGTTAGCGTGTAGCATGGTGCACGTAACCTCTTACACAGTGAGCGCTGGACACCAGCAACCCTTGTGACCCGAGAAAATGGAAGCTGGAAAAGATAATGGATAAAAGTGATGGTCAGGGTACTGTAAGAAGGTAGTAGTAAAGTTTATTTATAGATAAAAAAAATCACAACATGAAATTTTTTTTAGAAACATACACCAAAATGCAAACTGTAAAAGTAAAACAGCGTATAGAATACACAGAGTAACAGCTCTAACAGCTTAGCTCAAAGTCTGTAAAAAAGTCTTCAGATGTTTTTCTAAAAAGCATCAGTAGAATCAAGGCTGCACACAGATCGGAACAACTAATCCCCATGAGATTTAAACAGAGGTGTCAGAAGTATTCACATTCATTACTTAAGTAGAAGTATAGATACTAGGGTTTAAAAATACTTTTTTGGAAGTAGAAGTATCAAGTCAAGCTTTTTACTCAAGTAAAAGTATAAAAGTACTGGTTTTGAAACTACTTTATGTGTAAAATTAAAAGTAATGAACACTTTAAAAAGCCATTCAGGATAAAAGCTTTTTTTTATTTGAAAATAGATATTTTTATATTTAGCAGCCAATCTGAAGACGTTTAATTT